ACTATCACCACCATGTACCAAAAGGCTATTGGACAAGCTGAATGCTAACTTCAAGTGGGATAGAAGGAAGGTGAAGCCAGAAAAATCAAGGAACATTTCAATAGTGAATGGCATCCTGTCAGATAAAGGTTTTGTTTAAATGATGAGCCAATTCCAACAGTGTTAGAGAAGCCTGTCAAACATTTAGGTAGGTGGTATGATGCAACTCTTAGTGCTAAATTGTAGATTCAGGGCTTGAGACAGCAGGCAGTTGATGGGATTAAGAGCACAGATGCATCAGACCTCCTAGGCAAACTCAAACTGTGGTGCAATTTGGTCTTTTGCCACTATTGTTACGGCCACTGACAGTTATGATGTACAAATTTTTAAGGTCGAGAATGTTTAGCACATACATTAAGAAGTAGCTGGGAGTTATGTGCTGCCTCAGCAGTGTGGCCCTGTATGGAAAAGGGATTTTTGAACTCCCTCTAAACAGTTTAACAGAGGAGTTAAAATGTGCTAAGGTTGGACTGGAAATAACACTGTCAGAATCCAGGGATGTTGCGGTGCAGAGCACAGCACCCCCAGTCTCAGTAGGGAGGAAGTGGAACCCAAAGGAAGCAGTGTTGTAGGCTCAGGCAGCTCTTAACCATAGGGATATTGTAGGGCAGGTACAGCATGGATGTGGTGGTTTTGGCTTAAGCCCATCACAACCTTTTTGGAGCAAAGCAGCAGCAGCTGATGGATGGAGGGCCTGACATGTCCCTTGTGTTCAGGTGTATCATCACTTTGGCACATCCTCTCAGGTTGTAAAACAAGCCTGGCTCAAGGACCATACACCAGTAGGCATAAGTGTTGAAATGTTTAGCAGCAGCTATTGATACTACTGTAGGTGCTTAGAGGTAAACTCAGTGGACTGTAGGTGCTTAGAGGTAAACTCGGTGGAGGAGAAGAAGAAAGAAGCTGATTTTGTTTGTTCATAAGGGTGAAAAACAAAGAAGCTGATTTTGTTTGTTCACAAGGGTGAAAAAGGCAGGAAGCAAGTCATTTTGAACAAGCAGGATGCAGGCTAGCTAAAGGCAGGGAGAGATTGTCAAATAAAAGTAAATGTAGGGAATCCGCTCATAGTTTCTAAGGAGATATTCAGCACTAACCTCAGACCAGACCTTGGGTTGTGGTCAGAAGCACAGTACATTTCTCTGGGAAGACACTGTACATACAGCTTAATGGGAGGAAGAAACTGAAATACACAGAAATAGCCATGGAAGCAGAGGGGTGTGGCTAGAAAGTTAAAGTTCACTTGGAGGAGGTTGGTTGTAGGGGATTTGTAGCCAAGGCTGCTGCATCGCTGCTAGGTGAGTTGGGTAAAATGGTGGAGCCTAAGACAGGTAACTCTTATGAAAACTGACCTTAAAGGTTCAATTCACACAGTAGGGGAGAAAAGAGTCCTCATCTTCAGCATTACTTATGCTCAAAGCCATTCAAAGTACATTAATCACCCAAGGAGATAGAAGACTTGAGAAATAAGTGAGTTATTATTCTTTTCATGAACCTTCCCACTTCTTCTGCTGACCAGCTTTGTTGTCTTGGTGCCACTGGTGAAACATCTGAAATCATAAAATTACATGAAAAGAAACTTCATAAAAAAGCTGCACTCACAGTTTCTCTGTAAAAACAGAAACCATCAGATTGTTTAAGACAAGCTAATAATTTGCCCTTCCAAAATAAAAAAACCACAAAACATGAAAACAACAAAAATTAAGTGGACAATTATTTTTCATTATCCTTTCAGTTGTGCTGAAATGATAATTTTAGCAGTTTAAAGGAGACAGTAAAACGGGTGCAAACATGTATACACCCAATAGTTTGACATGTCACTAACTTAAAATGTCAAAAGTATAATTATTGCTGTTAAATTCAGCTTCTTACTATAGATGATAGCAGCTGAGGCAGTGTAACTTTTTTGTCACTCTTCTTCTTAATCCATTCTAGTTACAACACTTCACAAGTCTTACAACACTCTGGTCTCTGAAACCATAGCCCATCTTGTGTGCAATCTATTCAGGGTGTTCGGCACACAGAAATGCCTATCAGCCTATGAGCATCTTAACCAAGCATGTTTAAATCTCACTACCTTCGTTGTCTCTTCACTGTCATTGTGGTTCACACCTCCTTGCAGCTCACCCTCCTCCACCCCACCACTACTGGTATCAAGGTTCTGTTAAATATTGATGTCAGCAATTTTATTTGACAGCTAATCAGCAGGTTTCATCCCTCTATTCCAGATAGGGTCAAAGCCAAATATGTTTAAATAAAATCTCTATTTCTCATGTCTTTATGTCTTTCCTGTTTGAACATCAGTTAGGTCTTTATGGAAGAGTGGCTAGATGGAGCCACTCTGAGTAAAAGGTAGCCTGCTTGGAGTTTGCCAAACTGCATTTAAAGATGCTGCTCATCACCTGGATAACATTATCCCTGTAGTGAAACATGCTGGTGGCAGCGTCATTCTATGGGGATGCCTACCTCCAGCAGGGACTGGGAGGCTGATCAGAATAGAGGGAAGGATAAATGCAACTAAATACAAAGAGGTTCTTGAAGAAAACCTGCTCCAGAGTATACGCAAACTCAGACTGGGGTGATGGTTCACCTTTCAATACAACCATGACCTGAAGAATACAGCCATGACAACACTTGGATGACTGCCCTGACTGTCTGTGAGTGGCCCAGGCAAAGCCCAGACTTAAACCCCTAGAACATCTGACCTCTTTCAGATTCCTCCAGTCTGATGGAGATTGAGAGGAACTGTCAGGCAAAATAAAATTCTGATTTTGGTCTTTTAATATATTTGCCAAAAATTCTGAAAAAGTTTTCACTTTCCTACAATTGTATCCATGTAAAATTAAGTCTACAACATAAAGCGAAGGGGTTTGAAAACTTTCTGAAGTGAATGTATGTCTCTTCCATTTGTAGTTCCTCTCTGTATTGAGGAAAATGCTTAGAATTTTCAAAAGTGCAGCACCGTTACATCTGAATTATCTACAATCAAAATCTTTTTCAAAGCTGCTTCACCTCCTGAGCACCTTTTGTTAAACACAATATGTCTAACTTGAGTTTGTCATTATAAAGGTTTGATAGTGATTTAGAAATATGGCTGCAAATAACAGTATTACATTCTAGATATCACATGAATGACATGAAAAGTAAAAACAACCAGTCAAAAACCTGATGAAGTTCAAAAGATACAAAACAGAAGGAGCTTTAACTAGAGAATATTTGGCTGTATGATGAAACAACTGAAAGAATGATTAACAAGCCAGCAACCCATGTGACTCATTTCACATATGAGATATGATTCACACTCTGATCCCATATTTTTCTAACTTATCCATTAATAACTCATGATTGATTGTGTCAAATGCTTTTTTTAGGTCAATAAATATTCCCATTGTGTATTTCTTCTCATCCATAGCACTTGTTATGTCTTCCATCAGGTCGGAGAACATAACAAGTTAGAAAAATATGGGATCAGAGGAATGGTTCTGAAATGGATTAGAAGTTATTTGACACAGAGGCGTCAATTTGTGAAGTTGGGTGAATATCAATCGAGTGAGTTGGACATTGTATGTGGAGTGCCTCAGGGTTCAGTTTTGGGACCTAAATTATTTATATTATACATTAACGATATATGCAAGGTTTC